TCTATCTATCTGTCTATCTAATCTATCAATCTATCTATTTATTCAGCTCTGCCCATAAATGCTCAATAGGGTTGACATTTGGGATTTGTGATGGCCCCTCCAAAACATTGACTTTGTTGTCCTCAAGCCATTTTCTAACCATTTTTGCAGTATGCTTTGGGTCATTGTCCATTTGTAAGACCCATTTGCGGCCAAGCCTTAACTTCCTGGCAGATGTTTTAGATGTTGGTTCAATATCTCCACATACTGTTCCTTTCTCATGATGCCATCTATTTTGTGAAGTGCACCAGTTCCTCCCACAGCAAATTAACCCCAAAACTTGATGCTTCCACCACCATGTTTCACAGTTGGTATGGTGTTCTCAGACTTGCAGGCTTTCTCTTTTTTCCTCCAAATGTAACAGTGGTCATTATGGCTAAACAGTTCAATTTTAGTTTAATCAGACAACAGGACATGTCTTTAAAAATTAGACATTTTTGTGCAATTCCACAATTCTCTGTCTGAGATCTTGGCTGATTTCTTTAGACTTCCCCATGCTGTTACACAAAGAAGCATTGTGTTTGAGGTATTCCTTAAAATACACACCACATAGGTGTGTCTCCAATTAATTCAAATGTTGTCAATTAACAGAAGCTTCCAAAGACATGACATCATCATCTGGGCATTCCCACATTGTTTAAAGGCACAGTAACCCTAGTGCATGTAAACTTCAGATTTTAAGAAAGTAATAAAAAATTGTCTAAAAAAACTCCTTCTCTCGTTATTCTGGCATTATGCAAATAGAATTACTTTTGATAATCCAGACAGACCTAAAACAGGTAAAGTGAGTGTCTGATTTCATGTCAGACTAGGAGAAAAAAAAAATTGTCTTTTTATACAGTGTATGTAAACTTCTGGTTTCAACTGTATCTGTCCATCAGTCTGTCTGTCTGTCTGTCTGTCTGTCTGTCTGTCTGTCTGTCTGTCTGTCTGTCTGTCTGTCTGTCTGTCTGTCTGTCTGTCCATCAGTCTGTCTGTCTGTCTGTCTGTCTGTCTGTCTGTCTATCAATGGATGTAGTTGTAGCATTTTTACAGCTAGATTGCGGGCTTGAGATTGAGGGATTGAGGGCATTTAGGGCTTTGTTCGTGCTGCATATATAAAGCTTTGGCTTCTGAATGAGTTCAAAGTATAGAAAGACATTCAACAGCTCGTAAACATACAGCCACAGTAACAGTTAGTCAATGTGAACCAGTTTCTCAGAAGGTCATATCAGGTTGTCGGGTCAGCAATTAAGGACAGAGGTGAAAGTGAATTTGGTTTTCCACGCTATTTTCTGTTTCTCCAGTGGATTCATAGTGTAGTCATTAACACATCTGCTTTATATGCCGAGGGTCCTGTGTTCGAACCCCAGTGGAACCACATACCTGGTGCCTCCCATACCGCAGCCTTTTGCAACAAATCTGCTGTTAT